AGGTTAATATCTAAAACTTATGAAGAACTCATTCAACTCAACACAACAAAAAACAAACAATCCAATTTAAAATGGACAAAGGACCTGGATAGATGCTTCTCCAAAGAGAACACACAAATGGCCAATAGTCATATGAATAGTCAGTGTTATTAATCATCAGAGAAATGAAAATTAAAACCATAATGAAGAATGAATTTTTTTAATCACTTTGCTGAATATCTGAAACTGGTGCCAAATGGTATTCAATGTATACCATGATTGAAAAAAATTATAAACAAATAATTAAACAAACTACAATGAGATATCACCTAACACCTGACAGAATGGCTGTCATCAATAAATCAACAAACAAGTGTTGGAGAGGATGTGGAGAAAAGGAACCCCTCCTTCACTGTTCGTGGGAATACAGATTAGTACAGCACTATGGAAGACAATATGGAGGGTCCTCAAAAATGTTAAAAATGAAATGTCTTATGACCCAGTCATTCCACTTCTGTGTATATATCCAAAGAAATTTAAAACACCTATTTGAAAGAATATATACACTCCTATATTCATTGTAGTGTTACTTACAATAGCCAAGATATGGAAGCAACCCAACTGCCCAATAAGAGACAAGTGAATAAAAAAGGTGATATCCAAATATATAAAAACCCAGGGTCTGTAACATCCAAAACAACCAAATGCTTGAGCAACTGGAAGTCAGTGCTATGTTGCCATGGAGAGCCAGCACTGACTGCTGAGGGGGATGCAGATCAAGTCCAAAGAAAGGCCTGGAGAGAAAAAAAGCAGGATCTGATCTGTTGCCTCTGTGGCAGCTATTGATCATCACTTGCCTCTCTCTCTCATTCCAGACTAGGCCAGAAGCCACACTTCTCTTTCTCTCAGACCTCTGCTGGGGCTGCTGATCAGCCCTGCCTCTCTAACCAGGCCCATTGATAGGCCCAGAGACACTGATTGGTATAGACACCAACCAATCAGAACATAATCTGGTAAACTACAAGGAGCCAATAGCTACCTAGGAGGCAGAGCTTTTGACGCTGACTGGCACAGAAACCAATCAACTAGAATCAAATCTGGGTGAAGTGTGAGGAGCCAATGAGTGCCTAGAAGGTGGAGCTTTTGATGCTGACTGACATAAAAACCCACTAATCAGAACCTAATCAGAGTGAACTGCAAAGGAAGAACCTAAGGTGGGGCCTGAGGAGGAGTTTTAAGGGCAACAGCTGTTTAGTGTAAGATGTAAAGAAAGCGGTTCAATTTTTTAATGACCAGTTTGGCAGAATAGTGCATTTGACTGGCTATCAGTCCAGATATAGGGATTATGTATTTTTGTCTGCCAAGAGCATCTCCTCATCCTATATAATCTATCTATACTACTAAAAGGGTAATATGCTAATTATACCGGGTCAACTGGCAATCTTCTGGATAGCTGACTTCCTTGAGGACAAAGACATGGTGGTGAGAGCTGAAGCAGAGGCCATTGGGGACAATCAGGCCAGCAGGGGAGGGCAGTTTGGGGTGAGATCAGGCTGGCAGGAGAGGGCAGTTGGGGGAAAGATCAGGCCAACAGGAGAAGGCAGCCGGGGGTGAGATCAGGCCTGCGGGGGAGGGCAGTTAGGGACAAGATCAGGCCAGCAAGAGAGGGCAGTTTGGGGCAATCAGGCAGGCTGAGGCAGTTAGGAACAATCAGGCCAGCAGGAGAGAGCAGTTGGGGGCAAGATCTGGCCAGCAAGGGAAGGGCATTAGGGGCAATTAAGTAGGCAAGAAGAGAGGTTAGGAATGATCAGGCAGGCAGATGGGTTAGGGGCAATCAAGCAGGCAGGCAGAGGCTGTTGGGGCAATCAGGCAGGCAGACATGTAAGTGGTTAGAAGCCAGCAGTCCCATATTGTGAGAGGGATGTCCAACTTCTGAAAGTTAGACAGCCCCTGAGGGGTCCCAGATTGGAGAGGATGCAGACTGGTCTAGGGGCACCCCCCTCCCCGCAATGCACAAATTTCATGTACTGCGCCTCTAGTATATATATAAATGCTAAGCAACCAGAACAATACAAATGACTGGAATGACCAGTTGCTATGATGCACACTGCAGCCAGCCAACTAGCCCAGTTGGGGTTCGGCTCCTCCTCCCGGCCAGCCCTGGCTGGACTCGGGATAGGACTAGCTTACCAACTTTCCACGGCCCCACCCTTGGCCAGCCCAGCCCCCTGATTGGGAGCAGGTCCAGCCAGCCAACCACTGGTGGCCCCTCTCCATGGCAGGCCCACCCCGATCGGCCCCCACCACCCTGATTGAGGGTGGGGCTTGCCAGCCAACTGCCTGTGGCCTCTCCCCCTGGCTGGCTATGGTCCCTCTTCTGGCTGGTTCTGTCCCCCATTGACCCCCCCCATTGAGGGTGGGGCCAGTTGGCCAATCTCTCCCATCCCCTCTCCCCTGATGGCCCAGTTTGATCGGTCCCCATTGGTGCAGACCAGCCAGACCCTACCTGTGCACAAATTCATGCACTGGGCCTTTAGTATACACTGAGTATATATGTGGCCAGATTACTATGATCTCTGAATGCATAATAAGCTGGCCACCCATTTTGTGTGTGTGTGTGTGTGTGTGTGTGTGTGTGTGTGTGTGTGTGTTTCTGTGTACACATACTAGGGGTCCAGTGCATGAAATTTGTGCCCTGAGGGTAGGGTTATCTCAGCCCAACTTGCCTTTTTTCACATACTGGGAGCCCTCAGGGATATGGGAGTGGGCCTAAGCCGAAGGGGAGACAACTTTGTGGGAGGCAACTGGGCTGATCATGGGAAGGCACGAGCCCCATTACCCTGCTTCTGCAGCCACTGCCAGTCACCACAGCCACCAAGGTATTTTCATCAACATGAACTCCAGTCCCTTCACCAAGAAAAAATGACAACTTTCTTTAGGCATTTTCAAGATGTGTCTTTTATAGGATATGCATTTCTTTCTTTATTTTTTTTATCCTCACCTGAGAATATGTTTCTATTGACTTTTAGAGACTATGGAAGAGAAAGGAAAAGACAGAAACATCAAAGTGAGAGGGACACTTTGATTGGCTGCCTCCTGGATGAGCCCTGATTTGGGTCTTGGCCAGGGAGGAACCTTAACCTAAGTGCATGCCCTTGATCAGAATCAAACCCAGACCCTGCTGTCTGCAGGCTGAGGTATTATCCACTGAGTCAAACTGGCTAGGGCAGGATATGATATTTCTTTGCCCTCCAGCAGTGAACCTTCATTTTTTTCCTCCAGAAGTGTGGTGGAAAAACCCTAGATCACCTTTTTGGATTCTTATTACCCAAGTTACTAAGAATATTACCAGTGGCGTACAGGGAGCTTAGCCAATGAGCAATCAGAAAAGGTGTTCCCTCTATAGTTCACATCATTCGAGGACTGGGCCCTGCCCAGACCTAAAACCTCTGGTGGAAGCTTTAGGCCTGGGCAGGGCCCCTCCAGCTCCCTCTGATCACCAGCTCCGCCTCTGCCCAGGCCTGCACAGGCCAAAAGCCTCTTGAGCAAAAGCGGACATCCAGCTCCCTGAGATCGATCATAGGGGGTCCACTCCTGCCTAGGCCTTACCTCACAGTTACCTGGGTGCCAGGATGTTCCTGGGACATAGGCCCTGGGCACCATTGTATACAAATTAATCACCGTTTTGGGTTAATTTGCATAGTCACTCTGATTGGCTATAGGAGTAGCAAAGGTATGGTCAATTTACATATTTGTCTATTATTAGGTAAGATGAGGCCTGATGCATGAATTCGTGCATGGACGGGTTCCAGCCAGCCTGGTCAGAGGGAGGGGACATGGGTGGTTGGCCAGGCTGCTGGTCGAACTCCTGGTCAAAGGGACAATTTGCATATTAGTCTTTTATTATATAGGATATACACTGAGTGGCCAGATTGTTATGTGTTCAGAGATCATAACAATCTGGCCACTCAGTGTATATATATATATACAATGGTATGTTACTTGGCCATAAACAATAATTAAGTCTTACCATTTGTGACAGCAAAGATGGACCTAGAGAATATTATGATAAGTGAAATAAGTCAGTCAGAGGAAAACAAATCCCATATGATTTCACTTAGATGTGGAATCTATAAAACAAATAAGTAAACAAGCAAAACAGTAATAAACTTCAGGGAATAGAATGCTGGTTTCCAGAAGGGAGAGTGTTAGCAAGACTAGGAGAAAAAGATTAAAGGGTTAAGTACAAATTGGTAGTTACAAAATAGTCACAGGGATGTAAATTAGAGCATATGGAAAATAGCCAATAACATTGTAATAACTTTGTATGGTGCCAGGTGGGTACTGGAAATATCAGGGGACCTCTTTGTACAGTATATGATTGTCTAAACACTATATTGTATACCTGAAACTAATCTATACTAATAAAAGGGTAGTATGCTAATTAGACCAGATGTCCTTCTGGACAAAGTCACAGTGGTGAGGGCCAAGACAGAGACAGTTTAGATCAGATCATCAGGGGAGGGTAGTTAGGGGTGATTGAATCAACAGGAGAGGGCAGTTAGGGGGTGATTGGGCTGGCAGGGGAGCAGCTAGGGGAAGGGAGGGAGGATAGGGCTGATCAGGCAAGCAGTCAGGCAGGGGAGTGGTTAGGAGCCAGTGGTCCCAGATTGCAAGAGGGATGTCCGATTGCCGGTTTAGGCCCAATCTCACTGGCAGTTGGACATCCCCCTAGGGGTTCCAGATTGGATAGGGTACAGGCCAGGCTGAAAGACAACCCCCCATGTACAAATTTTGTGCATCAGGCTTCTAGTACAAAATAATATCTAATGTAAACTGTAATTGAAAAATAAATTAAAAACAACAAGAAGTCTGCTCAGGCAGCCTGCTAGAACTTTCCCTGAAACCTTCCCCACCAACTTTTCACTCCTCCAACCCTCTTTTCAATCCTTGACTTTTCACTCTCCCAAAGTTCATACCCCCAAATTAAAGTGAGGGTTCTAGGAAGCCAAACATCCTACCTGGAATGCCGCGTGTCTGGGATGGACCGGTTCAGGGGCAGCAGGTTACTGAGGTAAACATTGTAACCAAACTTCTGGAAGAGGTCCTCGGCCCTTTTCTGCTGGGCCTCAGAGAGATCCTCACCCCACTGCTTGAAAAGCGCTGAGTTTGGGAAGAGTTTCTCTCTGGGTCTGTGTTTCTTTGTCTCGTTTGCCTTGGCTTCCACTGCCTTGTCCACATTTTCTGGTTGCCTTTTAGACAATTTCATACTTTCTTCTGCAAATGAAGGGCAGGGGAGAAAACATTTCAGCCAATCCTTAGCTACCTGGGCACTGCTTTGCATTCAAATTTCACTACAATGTTTTACTCTCCAAATTCTGAAATTGACCAGCTCTTGTCCCAGAGGATACGATATGTCAAGGAACTTGTCAGAGCCATGCCAAACTGTCCTGGCGAGGCATGGACTGAAATACACCTCTTCTTTGAACTCCGTCAGAACTTGTCTATTCAAAGTCCCAAGCCTTCACAGTTCCTCCAAGAAATGCCATCTGAGAAATATATCGACCTTAGTGAACCTTTTTCAGAATAAGACCTGAGAACCATTTACATCAGAATCATCTGTTGGATTATTTTTAAATGCAGATCTACAGACTTATCTCCCAAATCAACTAAATCAGAATCTCAGGGTCAGACAGGGATAGGAAAAGATGCCAGAATCAGCACTTCCCCCTCCCCCCCAATCCTCATTTTTCTATTGATTTTAGAAAGAGTGGAAGAGAGAGGGGAAGACAGAGAGAAATATCGATGTGAGAGAACACAACTATAGGTTGCCTTCTATATAAGTCCTGACCAGGGCCCTGGTCAGAGGGGAGCTGTAAGCTCCAAGGTACGTGCCCTTGACCGGAATAGAACCTGGGACCCTTCAGTCTGCAGGCTGACACTCCATTCACTGAGCCAAACCTGCTAGAGCCAGAATCAGCACTTTTAACAAAATCAATGAGTAATTCTTTTATACAATAAAATGTGAGAAGCACTGCACTACACTGTCAGTGACTACTCCTTCCTAGCTGTGTGACCTTGGCCAGGGTCTTTCTCTTCTTGGTGCCATAGATTTACCAAGTGCCTCAGAGCATTGCAGTGATAACTATGTGGCTTAATGTCTGTGAAATGCTTATGACAGAGCCTGGCACACAATAAAGTTTGGCTATTTTCTCTTTTCTCTGGTTTCTATATTTCCTCTACTTAGGGGTGGGGGAGAGGTGAGGAAGGATATTGAGAAGAGTGGAAAACTTTTTAAATTATTATGCTTAAAGTTCTCTGTTCCTTTAAACTCCTGTGTTCCTCTTCGGGGATTTTCCTCTGTTATTCATTGCTGCCAGTTGGGAGATTATTTGAACTGGGACACCCTAGAGTCAATTTGAGTAAGTGCAGAGTTAACAGGATGAATACAGTGCCATTAGACCATTCATTTCATACAGAAACTTTCCAGGATCCAAAGGGCCCCACCCAATGTCACCATTCTGCAGAAGCCTTAAAGACTCCCTGGGCAGGTTCCAAAAAATTTGTTCAGAGTCATCAAACCCTCTGCTACAGGGATTTCATTATCATTATGTGTTTGCTTTTTTTCTGTATGACAGCTACATCTATGTCTAAATATTGATATATGATATCCTCTGGACTTCCTAGAGACAATGAGCAACGAGGATACTGCATAACTGAACAGACTTCATTTCAAGAAGCTCTATCAGGAAAGAGCCTTTGTGATCTAGAAACAGGGTCCAGAAGACATTTTGAAATTCACCTCAGCTGGTAAGGAGTGCCTGACACCACATCATTCTAAAGTGAATAAAATGTGGGAAGCATCAAAAATAATGAGGAGCGGGGGCGGAGCTTGAAGATGGCGACCGAACAGATGGACTTGTTTTGACTCTGGTCCCAGAACAGAAAAAAGCAGCATCTGAGTCGCTCAGGGAAAGTTGATTGGCAGCTAAGGGGCAGGAGAACTCTAAAGGAAGGTAGGGAAGGGTTCACTGAACAGGATTTCCTGACCAAGCGGCCAGCACTGCCGCCGCGGCTCTTCCAGAGCTGCGGCTCGGACAAAAGGCTGTGCCATCTTACCAGGAAAGGAGGAGCTTCTCTGAGGCCTGGAAAACCCACAGTGGAGGAGTCCATCGAGCAGCCGTCACGCCCCAATTGGCGCAAACATGTGGATTCAAGGGAGATCTTCAGTCACCCACAGAAAGGGTTGTATTTTATACCTTTAAATCAACGCAGAAGAAGGAACACCACATAACCAGACATCCTGAAAAGAGAGCCATGGGGAGACAGAGAAATAGCCCGCACATGAAAGAAAAGCAGGCATCACCAGAAAAGGAAGTAAACGAGCCAGAGGCAAGCAGCCTACCAGTGCAAGAGTTCAGAATAATAATCATAGGATGGCTAGAAAGAATGGAAGAGAAATTTGACAATAACCAAGAAGAAATGAGGAAGAACCATGTGGAATTGAAGAAGAGCCATGAGGAATTGAAGAAGAACCAAGAAGAAATGAAAAATGACATCGCTACCATGAAGAACTCAATAGAAAGCATCAAGAGTAGACTAGATGAAGCAGAGGACCGCATCAGTGAGCTAGAAGAGAAGATGGAAAAAAAAATACCCAATTAGAGCAGCTTCTAGAAAAAAAGATTAAAAAGCAGGAAGAGAGCCTACGGGAGCTTTGGGACAATATAAAACAAAATAATATTCGAATAATAGGGGTTCCAGAAGGAAAGGAAACTGAGGTAGACATGGAAAAAGTATTTCAAGAAATAATGACAGAAAACTTTCCTGAGATAGAGAAGAAAAAACCCACACAAATCCAAGATGCTCGCAGAGTCCCAAGCAAAATGAATCCCAAAAGACAGACGCCAAGGCACATTATAATTAAAGTGGCAAACAACAATGATAAGGTAAGAATCTTAAAAGCAGCCAGAGAGAGACAGAAAGTTACATACAAAGGAACCCCATCAGACTAGCAACTGATTTCTCAACAGAAACATATCAGGCCAGAAGGGAATGGGATGAAATATACAAAGTCATGTATAGGAAGGGTCTGAATCCAAGAATACTGTACCCAGCAAGGCTATCAATCAAAATTGAAGGGGAAATCAGGAGCTTCACAGACAAAAAAAAAAGACTGAAGGAATTTATCTCCACCAAACCAGCAATGCAAGAAATGCTAAAGGGTCTACTGTAAAAATAAAGAAATAGAAAGTGAAGAAGGAACACGGGTATAGAATAAAAATGGTATCAAATGAGTACCTATTAATAATAACCTTAAATGTAAATGGTTTAAATGCTCCAATAAAAAGACATAGGGTGTCAGATTGGATAAGAAAACAAGACCCATACATCTGCTGTCTACAAGAAACCCGCCTCAGAAAAAAAGATGCACACAGACTGAGGGTGAAGGGATGGAAAAAGTTTTCCAGGCGAATGGAAATGAAAAAAAAAAGCTGGGGTAGCAATACTTATATCTGACAAATTAGATCTCAGAGTGAAGCACATAACAAGAGATAATGAAGGCCACTTCATAATACTAAAAGGAACAATCCAACAAGAAGAAATAACCCTGGTAAATATATATGCACCCAATAAAGGAGCACCCAAATACATAAAAAAAATTGCTGGAGGAAATTAAGGGAGAGATTAATAGCAATACAATCATAGTAGGAGATTTTAATACCCCACTGTCACCCTTGGACAAATCATCTAAACAAAAAATTAACAAAGAAATATCAATCCTAAATGACTCACCAGACCAGATGGAATTAATTGACATCTTCAGAACATTCCACCCCAAAGCCACAGAATATACATTCTTCTCAAGTGCACATGGGACATTCTCAAAGATAGACCACATTTTGGGACATAGGCAAAGTCTCTTCAAATTCAAGAAGATAGAAATCATATCAAGCATCTTCTCAGATCATAGTGGAATAAAACTGGAAATTAACTACAATAAAAATAATCCAAAGAAATCAAACAGATGGAGACTAAACAGCATGTTAATAAACAAGGAATAGGTTACCAGAGAAATCAAGGAAGAAATTAAAAACATCCTGGAAACAAATGACAATGAAAACACAACTATCCAAAATCTATGGGACATAGCAAAAGCAGTTTTGAGAGGGAAGTTCATATCCTTACAAGCCTATTGCAAAAAACTAGAAAAAAACGGTAACAAATGATCTAACTCTACAACTCAAAGAGTTAGAAAAACAGCAACAAGAAAAGCCCAGTGTAAGCAGAAGGAAGGAAATAACAAAAATCAGAGCACAGATAAACGACATAGAGACCAAAGAAACAATACATAAGATCAACAAAACTAAGAGCTGGTTCTTTGAAAGGATAAACAAGATAGATGGACTTCTAGCCAGGTTAACCAAAAAACAAAGAGAGAGGACCCAAATAAACAAAATCAGAAACAAAAGAGGTGAAATAACAACAGACCCCACCGAAATACAAAGGATTGTTACAAAATACTACGAACAACTCTATTCCTACAAACTGAACAACCTGGAGGAAATGGACATATTCCTAGAAAAATACAAACTTCCAAAACTCAATCAGGAAGAATCTAAAAATTTCAATAGAGCAGTGACTTAGGAAGAAATTGAAACAGTCATCAAAAAGCTTCCAGCAAACAAAAGCCCAGGGCCAGATGGCTTCACGGGAGAGTTTTATCAAACATTCAAGGAAGAACTAAAACCTATCCTCCTCAGACTATTCCAAAAAATCCAAGAGGAAGGAACACTTCCAAACTCCTTTTATGAAGCCAGCATCACCCTAATACCAAAACCAGATAAAGACAACTCAATGAAAGAGAATTATAGGCCAATATCCCTCATGAACATAGATGCCAAAATCCTCAACAAAATTCTAACAAATCGACTCCAGCAGAACATCACAAAGATCATACACCATGACCAACTAGGATTTATTCCAGGAATGCAAGGATGGTACAATATCCACAAATCAATAAACGTGATACAGCACATAAACAAAATGAAAGATAAAAATCATATAGTCATATCAATTGATGCAGAAAAAGCATTTGATAAAATCCAACACCCTTTCCTGATAAAAACGCTTAACAATGTGAGATCATACCTCAACATAATAAAAGTTATATATGATAAACTCACAGCCAACATTATACTCAATGGGCAAAAACTAAAACCATTCCCTCTAAGAACAGGAACAAGACAGGGATGCCCACTCTCACCACTCCTCTT